CTCTCCAGATGTAGGGGAGGGTAGCAGTTCTTCGCCAGCGCGCCCCCAGATGTAGGGGGGGCGGCGCAGGTCAACGCTCTCGAGATGCAGGGGAGGGCAGCAGTTCTTCACCGGCGCGTCCCCAAATGTAGGGGGGAGGACGCGGGTCCACGCTGTCCAGATGTAGGGGAGGGCAACTTTTCTTCACCGCCGCGCCTCGAGATGTAGGGGGGGCAACGCCGGTTAATGCTCTCCAGATGTAGGGGAGGGCAACTTTTCTTCACCGCCGCGCCTCGAGATGTAGGGGGGGCAACGCCGGTTAATGCTCTCCAGATGTAGGGGAGGGCAACTTTTCTTCACCGCCGCGCCTCGAGATGTAGGGGGGGCAACGCCGGTTAATGCTCTCCAGATGTAGGGGAGGGCGGCATTTCTTCACCTGCGCGCCTCCAGATGTAGGGGGGGCAGCGCTGGGCTTTTCGGTTGGGCGGTTCTCCAAATGAACGGGGGAGCTGCACAGTCATCACAGATCTCCGCCAACGCGCTTCCAGATGTAGGGGGGGCAGCGTGGGCATTTGTCGTTGTAGTCGGCGCGCTTACCAGGGTGGCGAGCAGCAGCAGGGNTCCAGATGTAGGGGAGGGCGGCATTTCTTCACCTGCGCGCCTCCAGATGTAGGGGGGGCAGCGCTGGGCTTTTCGGTTGGGCGGTTCTCCAAATGAACGGGGGAGCTGCACAGTCATCACAGATCTCCGCCAACGCGCTTCCAGATGTAGTGGGGGCAGCGTGGGCATTTGCCGTTGTAGTCGGCGCACTTACCAGGGTGGCGAGCAGCAGCAGGGGTTTTTGCTGGTGGGTGGGAGGAGCCGGAGTCCACTTGGCAATGGAGAGAAGACCCCCGCTGAGACCGGCAAATCCGGTTGGTACCTGTAGCAGAGAATACTGGTAGCAATTTGAGTTTTCTTGTGTGTGTTTGGTCGCACAATATGGGAGGGCATCAATGTGGCGATAACCTGATGTTAGTGAATGTGCATGTCTCTGACGACCTCCCCTCAACAGTCGCTACCGTGTTTTGATCGTATCAACGCCGTTCCGTGTTGTTCGAATTGTAGGCCAGATGTCGCGGGAGAGCACAGCTGTGTTTCAGCTAGCGTTGGAATATTGATGTTTGTTTTTCCCTGAAAATGCTGAGATGATCATTCGAACCATCGATGTAGTTNTTTGGTCGCACAATATGGGAGGGCATCAATGTGGCGATAACCTGATGTTAGTGAATGTGCATGTCTCTGACGACCTCCCCTCAACAGTCGCTACCGTGTTTTGATCGTATCAACGTCGTTCCGTGTTGTTCGAATTGTAGGCCAGATGTCGCGGGAGAGCACAGCTGTGTTTCAGCTAGCGTTGGAATATTGATGTTTGTTTTTCCCTGAAAATGCTGAGATGATCATTCGAACCATCGATGTAGTTTGGTCCGCTTGGTATATCGCCATGAAGGGGAATTGGAGTAGCTGAAATAAATGCCAACGTAGCGCTGTGTTTGGCCTTCGTTTGTAGGGAATTGGAGTAGTTGAGATGACAACGATGATGTTTTGTTTTGGCAGTCGTGGAATCATTGCGAGGGTTTTTAGCTCGGAGGCCGGGTTTTCCCTTGCAACGCCTTTTTTTTTCTGTTTGGTTTTTCGGTGGTGTCCGAGTACGTTGAGCAACACACGGTAATGATTAATTACTAGCGTAAGGAACCAGGGAGGGTGTTCGTGTGTGTGCATATGTAGGAAGGATCTGAGGAACGGTTCTGTGTTCCGTACATGACGGGACCCGCTGTGGTACCTGTTGTAGTAGAATTGGATGAGTCTGCGGTTCCCCCATGCTGCGTCAGCCTGTGTGGGGCACTCTCTTTCTCCCCTGTCTGTCGTGCTTTGGTCCTGCGGAACTAATACAAGCAATCGACGAGACTTTCTAGTCACTGGACACGAACATGGGCACACCCGGCAATCACTCCGGCTCTAGGAGTGGTCAACACGGCCCTCCAGAGCAGATAATGTACTGTTGTTCAGGAGTGTACACATGCTGGTTTCGGGTGAATGGTACTCACTCACGTTGACGGTCCAGGGGTCGCCCATGGGCTGCCGATGGGCATTCCCTATGGGCTGCCTATGGGCATGCCCATGGGCAGCCCATGGGTGCCAAGTACTCATGGGCATCACGTGGAGCCCTTGGGCAGCCCGCGGTCCATGAGCCATG